TCTGCAATTGGAAATATAATGAAATAGCTATTCTAAAGTCATGATTCCAGGGACAAATGTTCAAGTGAATGACACCGGAATGGGGAGGAATTAAAAAATAACCGAGGATTTCTCAGATCCCTTAGCCAAAACCTTCTAGTGTAGATCTCTGAAAGCACAGATTTGAGTCTTAGCTAGGGAAAGCTAGCCTTTCATAACAAATTAAGTTCCATGCATTCACTCTGCAAGGATTCTTTTGCAAGAGCCCTTAAACTTTAAGTTGGTCCCTACTCTTCATGGAAACTAAAAATCCCATAGTACTTTGCCAAAGACTTCAGGTTTATCCTGGTTTCTTTTTAGCCAAACTTTTCCTTCTTCTGGAGTGTGCTGCATGCCAGCTAGCTCCCATTCTCCACCACAGAAACACCATAGAAAAATTTCAATAGTACAGCCAATTCCTGCAGCTGTGATGCTTTAAAAAAAAAAAAAAAAAAAAAAAAAAACACAACCTAGGTTAATCAGAATAAAGACTGCAGATAAGTCCATAGGCACAAAGTCCTTTGGGATCCTTCAGGTCCTATCTGAATACAGAGTAAAAGAATATAATATACATTTTAATGGCACATTAAGATCGCCAGTAAGCACTCAAAAGCCAGAAAATACCAGTTAAGAGTTGGATGAACAGCCTTAACTCTGCCCTTTTGTGCAGATGCATCATGATCCAGGCCTTAATTCCATGATATCACAGCATGCAACACTGAACCCTGGAATTAGTACTGTAGCACCATTACTTTCCCTTTACCTAAACCTTTCAAGAGATGTTTAAAAGTTAACCTAAATGTTCAAGCTTGGATGCCAACATTTAGGCACTTAATTCCACATTCAGAGGTGATTAGTGTTCACCATTTCCACCACCACGCACCCATTTAACATACAACAATCCTTGTTGCAAAGTGTTGTCCATGACATGAACTACACTCATGCAATCAGCATATTAATTGTGCAAAGAGCCCCTCCTTCTACTTCCAATAAATACACAAAAACCCTCAACCTGAGATTCATCACCTGGATTGGCTATAAAACCTCCATGACTGAAAAAGGTAATATTTATATAACTGCAGTGATCTCAACTGGTGTAATGGTATGATACAAAAAACAAAAACACAACCCCCAGGTATGTTACAAATAGGACACATTTCAAAAAGTCTAAAAATTATCCTGATGTGTTTTAAGTGAGGGGAAATTTACAGCAAATAAAGTTTCAGTGCTCAAGATATTTCTGATTCCCACTTGTGTGTGTTTAAGGACTCAATCCGACTCCCATTTCAGTTGCTAGCAAAAATCCCGTTGATTTTAGTGGGATGAGAATCAGAACTCAAATGCATTATCTTTTATCTCTGCTTTTCCTGTAATTACACCTTTTACTCTTCATTTTCTCAGTTTTTTCTCTCCAGATCAGAAAGTGGATTATATTCTTAGGCTTTGGTCACAATACACTAGTTCAGCTCCATATTTTTATGCCATTTAAATAATCAGAACTGTCTCTCATGATGGGCAGGGTGGATTTGTCTAGAACAGTAAAGAGTTCTGTTCACCAGACAATGTAGCCTTACAAAAGTTTACGCTATGTCTATGTAAGCTCTACAAATACAAGACTGTGATCTGTTCTGAAATATAATGGCTGTGAATTTTTTGTTGCATCTATTCAAAACAAACATTCACAGCACTAGCGACAATCTGACGAAGTGGGTCTTTGCCCACAACAGCTCATGCTCCAATACATCTGTTAGTCTATAAGCTGCCACAGGACTCCTTGTCACTTTTGCAGATCCAGACTAACACAGTTACCCCTCTGATAATTCACAGCACTGAGTCATTAAAGCTCCACACTGCATTTTAAGAACAATAAAATAATATGAGCAAGATAGACAAACAAACAAAAAATCGAAAAAGATTTAGCAGTACATACTCTACTCAAAACACTGCAGAACATAGACAAAAATCTTTTTGTAGTACACAGCCCACTCAAGATTTCTCACTGAACTGCACTGGGTATTCCAGTCTATTAGAATAATATACACTCATAAGATCATCTTAATTCATACCATCCCTGTCCACTGCCTACAACTTAAAACTGGATCTCCATTGTAAACCATGCCTGGAATTCAGACTTTAAGGTCTTTAAGGCTGTACACTCTGTTTTCCTTTTCATTCAACTTCCAGCAGAATCATTTTACAGTGCTTCTGCCTCCATAAAATATTTGCTTGGGAGTCAATGCCAAGAAAAAAAAAAAAGTGCATTAACCAAGTTCTGAGTTTCTATAGCAATGCTTTTTATCCCCTCTCTCACACATATAGTTTTGCAAGTTATGGCTTCCAGAACTAATAGCAAGTTTAAATATTTAAATTGTAAACTAAGCAACAGATAATCTTGTGCTTGGGTGTTTTAAAATGGTCACTCCGCAATTTAGTCTTCTTCAACAGTATCTGAAGCAAATCTACTTCCTAAATACATACAATCATTATCATGAAAAAATTCAGTCCTCTCCTTTGTGACCAGCAGAGAATCACTTAGAGACAATAGTGGAACATTCAGAGTTTCCAATGTTACTGACACAGCACTGGCAGAGGTGTTAGACCTTTCTCAACCAGTGGTACGAGTACCCTTAGGGGTACTCGAGAAAAGTCTGGGGGGTACGTCAACACAACTGAAATTTGGAGAAATCTGAATTTTTGTTTTAAGTTTTACAGCATTTTATTATTTTTGTACTTTTTACACCCAAAAATGTCATTGCCCACCCAGCTACAATTACGTTGTTTAAACAAATGTGTTGCAATGGTAGAAAAAAAAATTGTGTCTGAGAACTAGGTACTGGGGGTACTCAATTTTTTAAGGGGTACTTTATATTAAAAAAAAGGATTGAGAAACACGGTTAGACTAGTAGTTGTCCACCAGTGGTATGCATATGCTGAGGGGGACACAAAGGTCTTCTGGGGGGTATATCAACTCATCTAGACATTTGCCTAGTTTCACAACAGGCTACGTATAAAGCACTAGCAAAGCTAGTGCAAACTAAAATTTCATACGACTTGTTTATACTGCTGTATGTATTACACACTAAGGTGCAATTATAATATTTATATTCCAGTTGATTTATTTTATAATTATGTGGTAAAACAATGAGAAAGTGAGCAATTTTTCAGCAATAGTGTGCTGTGAGACTTTTGTATCTTTGTCTGAGTTTGAAAGGGAGGTGAAACTTGGGGTACGCAAGACAAACCAGAAGAGTTACAGTAGTCTGGAAAGGTTGAGAGCTATGGTGTGAGACTAATGCTGAGAACAAGCAATAGTTCTAATACAACCCTGTAATTTTTGTTAAATTATCCTCTGACACAAAACCCTCTCCCTCTCTTGCCTCAACTCCTAGGTCATTGTTTTTCAATCCACTGCTGGTAGGGTAACCTGTTTATTGAAATCTGATCATCTACTGGAGTCCCAGTGTGAAAATATGTGCTAGCTGTTGAGAACTGTCATTTGTCTGTCACTTGGGAAGTTAATGGATTTGTTTGTTTAGTTTACTATTGGGAATACATAGGGCAGAGTTTGGAAGGATTATAGGAGGGGAGAGGCACTCCTGATCCACAAAGGAATGCAATGGTTTTCCTCTAACCCTACACTGAAAGTTGAAAGCCAACTGTGTATTTTTACACATAGATGACAAAAGCAAAGAGCTTACCTGCAATTATAAACTGGCCAAAAAGTGACCATCCTGGATCCAAGTTGTGACAACACTTGAAAAAACATGCCATGGGGGAAACGTATGTGCGGGTGGACAAGAGGTAAGGGAGATTCTATGCAAATGAAAATATAATGATTTTGTCTCAAAGAAAATATGGCATGTTGGAAGAACATGAGCACAATTAGAGCAAATGTAAAGGTGCAAGCCACAAACCATTCCCAAGGCTGCATAAAAGCTCATTCCCCTTACCTCTGGCTGAATCAGAAAATGCAATTATCCCTATGAAAAAGAGTGCAAACTGGAATTCCATTTTCAAAACTGGCTTCGTCTGTAGGGTACAGATTTCTGATCTTTCGCACCTGGAGGAAAGAAAAAAAGAGGTGGAAGAAAGTGAGAATTAAAAAAAAAATCCCAGAGTGTGTCAGTAAACAAAATTAGAGACAGCAATTATAAGTATTTATAATTCATTCCTTGGCATTCTGCATGTAAAATTTTGCTCTATCCTAATCTTACGCTCGTCTGATATAAATCAAGCATTTCTTTTGGTATACCGTGCAGATCCAGTCTTGAAGACAAGCAGACACTAGCAAGTGGCCATAAAACAATATTGCAGGTTAAAACTTTTGGAGAAACCGAAAAAAAAAAAGGAATCTATCTTTCCACCCACAGAACTTAGTTTTTCTGCTTCATTGCTTCTAATGTGGGTGCTACAGCCTTGAATATTTCCTTCAGTTCTGATTTTTTTTCTTCCCAGCAATTTATTTCCTTAAGCCTCCTTTCCTTTCAAGCACTGCTTGTTTTGGTTTACACCAAAGGTGTGTCCCACTGCAAGCCAGTCATTCACACCCTTGGATATTCTTTAGCAGCTCTAATATCTGGTTTAAAAAAAAAATCTAAGTAGATCAGGTTTACATTAATTACACTCTGTTCTCCTCCTAAATCTCTCACTCTCTAAACACTATCTGAATTCCTCACTCTTGTAAACTCCCTGATTTAAACGGTCTATGCCCCCGGGACATACAACAATCCATGTATAGCATCCAACAAAGCAAATAATTACATATTGCCATTAGCTTACAAATTTTGCACCACAGATTCTGAAGGTGGTAAAATGAGGCTGTTGGGGGTTGAATTAAAGGGGGGGGGGGGGGAGTGTGGAGGGACACAACATGTGCCCAGCCATTTCCACCTTCCAGGGCTGCTCTGCAGGGGGAAGGAAGCAATCCAGAAATGTTTATACCACGCAAATACCTTAATACAGGATTTATAGCAAGGTGCCCCAGGCAGGTCATGCCAGGGAGGGAACCAGCACTCAGCAGAAAGAAACTAGGCTTCCCAACCCAACGCAGCACAGCCGCCCCAGTCCCCACCATCTTTAGGAAGTCACACTGCTCTCCATGGCCCACCAAGGGCTAGCTAGGTGATGTGAGCCCATTCCCCACTAGTGCTGTGAAAAATGGGAGCAGTTCCCAGCACTTCCCCATTAGTTTCTTCTGGCTGGCCAGAGAGAGAGGAGACTTGAAAAACCTCCAGCGTGAAAGTGACAAGGGGAGGAGGGTCTGTGTTCATTTTTAAGTTGCCACGGAAGTTGGGCCAGTGAGGTCCAAGGGAGGTGGAACCTGCCCTTCTCCCAGGCAGACCTGCATGGGTCTGGATTCCCAGGGGTAATTATTAAAGCCCCCGCAGCCACTCCAGCTCTTGGAGGCGAAAAGAAAAGTTTCTGGCTGCTGCCCACCCGTGGGGGGAGCGGAACAGCGCGTGTCGCCCGCTGATCGCTGACACTTGTGGCTCCCACGCCGAAGACCGCCCGAGCTGCAAAGGGCCGATTAATCATTAACATTAATCCTGCCTCCTTCCCATGACACCCGCTCCCTGCTGTAGCCGCCCGCAGGACTCCTGCCTTCTGGCTTGCTCGGGCGGCAGGGCCAGGTCCCGGTCCCAGCGCACCGGCCGCTTTAAGAGCAGATGTTCACTCACGTCTGAATTCATCAGCGCCTGCAGCTCCCCAGCCCAACCCCGGGACTTCCCTCCCCGGCCCAGGTGCCGTGCACTGAGGCAGGTGCTTGGAAGAGGAGAGAGACACTCACCATC